GGGTCCTCAGGAGATAGGAGTTCACAGCAGCCATCCAAAGCTAGGAAAGTCATACCAGCACCAAGGAGAAGGCACAAGGAAAGGGCGTGTATCAATAAACAAGACAGAGACATGTGTGTCTAGTGACTTCTCTGATGAAGACAATCTTCTTCTATAAAGAAATGATAGCAATAATAATCACTGGCATTTGCATATTGCTTTGCATACATTACTTGGTCGTTTAAGTCTCACAACAATCCTATGAGTAAAGCACTGCACGAATTATTATCTCCATTTTACAGATAAGGAGGAGCTTAGAGAGCTTATCTATCATCATGGTGTCATCAAGAAATAAATCAATCAACAAGTATTTATTATGCAGCTACTATCCCTCTGGTGCTGTGCTAGGTGCTGGAGATACAAGTACAAAGAATAGATCAGTCCCTACTCAGAATGAACCTACACTCTAATGGGGGAGATAACAAGACTGTATAAAAATCTACGCAGCATAAATGTGTGTGTGTGTGTGTGTGTGTGTGTTGTGTGTGTGTGTGTGCATGTACACATAAGCAGCTGGGTTAGATGCATAGGCTCATCATTTAGTTACATTTCTAGCTAGTTTAGGTCCAAAGTTGGCATAACTTCTGGTTCCTGGAGGGTTGGAGTCCCAGGATCCTTGCTCCTCAAGGCATTGGTTCTGACTGGTTAAAACACTCAGCCCAGATTCAGGGACTTGCGCTCCCAAGTCAGATAAGACACTCTACTCCCTGCACCCACAAAAGAAAAGAAAAGATGAAAAGGCCAAATAACCAGGCCCATTTCTCAGGGCTAATATGGCCTCATGTAGGGAGGTTGGAGATCCTAGGAAAGTCGCTTAACGCCTCTCTGACTTCATCTATAAGGTGGGGATAATGGTAGCACCTCTCTTCCAGGGTTGTTGTGAGGATCAAATGAGAAAATATTTGTAAAAAGCCTAGCACATAGTAGGTACTTAATAAGTGTTCATTTCCTTTCTTCTCTCCTTCCAATTGAAAAAGGATCCTTCTGGCCATCAGATAGACCAATGGAGAATGTCTGTGCTCACTCCAGTCTCTCAGAAGCAGCTCCTTACCATCTTCCACATGGATGATACATTTTTAGGTGGTCTGGGCATGTGCTAGATCTCCACTATGTTGTCCTCAAAGCTTGGGGAAGATGGGTGAGGTGGTATGGCAAAGTAGAGAAAAGGTATACAAATCACCATGTATTGTACACCATACAAAGATGGCAAGACAGCAGCAGTGGTCTGGGTTAGGTTTGTCATGGTGAACTCTCACCAATAGGAATGCAGGGTCAAAGGGCAAGAGCCAGAGAGCTGAATGGGAATTAGGAGGCATGGCACAAGAATGGGCAGAGAGCAGCACCTCGATCTGAATGAACAGAGAGACTTTCCAAAGTAGGAATTACCTAAATCAGTGTTGTTGAACTCAAATAGAAAAGGGGGCCACTGAACTGTATACCCTATATACAATATGTATAGGCAGCATATTGACCTAGAAAATCACATATATGTTCTGTTGTATTTTTATTTATTTTGTTAAATATTTCCCAATTAATATTTTAATCTAGCTCAGAGTATTCTGGGCCTTCACCAATAAAATTACAGGTCTGTACCCACCTTTCCTCTTTAAAAAAAAAAAAAAAGAACATCATTGTATACCTATGTACAAGTTGAAATAAGCCTGATGAGAAATTGTCAGGATCAGAAATGGCTCAACTAATAGAATCCTTCAAAATGATGGAGGAGAAAGGTTAGGAGGCCTTTTGCTACTTGCAGAAACAAAGATACAAAGCTGATGTATCTTTTTTTTTTGGTGAGGCAATTGTGGTTAAATGACTTGCCCAGGGTCACACAGCTAGTAAGTGTCAAGTGTCTGATGCCAAATTTGAACTCAGGTCCTCCTGGCTCCAAGGCTGGAGCTCTATCCACTGTGCCACCTGCCTGCCCCTATGTGTCTCACCTGCAGCCTAGAGGCCACGTGTGGCCCCTTAGGTCCTTGAGTCTGGCCCTTTGACTGAATCCACACTTCACAAAGGGTTTCTCACCTAGCATTTAGGGCAAGGTCAGAAAATCAAAGGAAGAATATTACTTAAAAAACTCCAAGATCCATCTAGAAAAGTATGGGCCTCCCCTTTCCCTCCTATAATGCTTCCAGTCTCTGGCCAGGGGACAGGAACCAATATTCTTCATGTTCTTTTCTCCAAGGGAGATCAAATGCTTTGAGAAGATCCCAGGGGTGAGATGATATTTTTTTCCTGGCATCATAACTCTGCTCTATAGCCAAATGATAAAGTACAATTTAAAAAATCACCCAATATTGATAGCTTAGTTAAATGAAGGAGATGTGTATGGGAAGGGGGAGTCTACTGTCTATAGCCTAGAAAATATTCCCAGCTCATATCTTGACTCAACTTTGTGCTAGTCTATAAATCCTAGAGTTTCCATCTTTTAAATTCCTTTGTAATTTATTGACAGTACCAGTCACTGTGCCCTTCTTATATAATGCTGAATACAAAAGGGTGGCTTTGTTCTTTAAGGCTTTTGTCAGCAACCTAAAGCTTAGAACAAACTGAGACTGGCAGTGAAGACTCAGAAAAACAAAAAAGGCTTCCCCCCATTTTTTTCTTTTTTCTTTTCTTTCCTTTCATTTTTTTTAAGCTATTTAGGGGCAGCAGGAAGATCAAAGGAGGCATAGCATTAGAGTAGATAGAATGATGTTAATGGACAATGGGATAAAAGGCTAAACCACTCAACTCTTATTTCATTTTTTCTTTAATTAAGGAAAATTCTTCAGACTGTGAAGGATAGAACACAATGGTTTAATAGGGAGCTGAAACCCAAGATAAGTAAGAGGGCACCCAGCTGCCCTCAATGAGTTTGAGTTACCTGCCTAGGACCAACTATATCCCAGGGTTCTAAAGGAATTGGCAGCTGAGCTATTGTATGAAACTCTGAAGTGTCTAGAATAGGAGAGAAGCCATAAATTCCATTATAACAGATGTGGGTCTTAATGAGGAAGAAAGAAAGGAAGGAAAGAAAGAAAGGAAAGAAAGAAGAAAGGAAGGAAAAGGAAGGAAAGGAGGAAAAAGGAAAGAAGGAAGAAGGAAGGAAAGAAGAAAGGGAAGGAAGGGAAAGAAAGAAAAAGAAAGAGAGAGGAAGGAAGGAAGGAAGAAAAAGAAAAAGGAAGGAGGGAAAAAGAAAGGGAATGAAAAAAAAGGAAGAAAGAAAGGAGGGAGGGAGAGGGAGAGAAAGAGAAGAATTCAAACCATAGATCAGTGAACTAAATTACTTATACTTCAAAGCTCAGCTCAAGCATCATTTACTATGATAGACTTTTTCTGGCCACCATCCCCCTTCCTCCTCCACCCCATCCCAATTACTTTATATTTACTTTTATATATCTTAGACAAGGCAACACGAAATGGTGGATAGAGAGTTAGTCCTGGAGACAGGAAGATTCGGGTTTAAGTCCTGCCCCTACCCCATAGTGGATGGGTGACCTTGGACAAATCGTTTGTAGTCTCGATGACCCTGGGAACTCTCTAAGAATAGAAAATGCAGAGAAGGTACCAATCTTCATCAATGCAGTGCCTGGTACATAGTAGAAACTTAATAAATAGCTATTCAATAAGTAAAGGAAGCTTCTCATTAGGGATTTCTTAATATAATCACAAGCCTGGTAAAAAATTTATACTTTGCATACATTTATATGTGAACATATTTCCTCTGATAGACTATAAGCTCTCTGAGGTCAGGAACTGTTTCATTTTCCTTCTCTGTATCCCTGCACCTAGTACAGTTTCCTGACACATAGTAGGTGCTTGCTGATTGATTAATTTCCTTAACACAACTTGAAAATGTATTATCAAAGCAATGATTTATAAACATAAAGTAAATGAAATAGTGACTGCTAAGAGACAGCTTGTGCTAACCAGGAGCAAGTCACACCAGATGGAGCTCATTTCCTTTTCTGAAAAGTTATTAGGGAAAAGAAATTGTTAGATTGGTTGATCAGGAGACTACTGCAAAGCTTTGTGGACACAATTCATTCAACAAACATTTTTTAAGCACCTACTAGGCATAAAGTACTCTGGTAGGTGCTAGGTATTAAAGAATAAATAAAATGGCCCCTGTCCTCTTACATTCTATAAAAGGCAATGTAACATATACACAAAAGAAGATGTGCAGTAAAATCCCAACCCACATGTGTACTCACTAGTTGGTCACATTTTCCAATGACAGAAAGCTAATAGGGATAGTTAATATGCTGGCTACCAGGGTCAAGATCCCAAACCATTTTGATGGGATAGAACAATGGACCAAATCTAATCAAATGCAAAGTCCTACAAGTGGGTTCAAAAAATAATTTTACAAATACAGGATGGAAGAAGTAGACTAAAAAGGGTTGACATGAAAAAAGATCTGGTTGGGTGGATTGCAATCTCAAACTGAGTCAACAGTGAGAACTGCACCAAAAAAAATCTAGAATACTAGAAAGGGTATATGCAGGCCTACCCCAAGAGTAGGGTAAGCGCCTCCTTCCTCTGGCATCTTCTAGGCAAGGTATGTATTCCCTAGATAAGGCATGAATTATCCTTGTCTTCAGTTCTCATTGACCCATGATGAGGTCTTTGTTCTATCACTGACTCAAGTTCATGATTAATTCACACACTTGAGCTATATTTGGCTTTTGAAAGTAGATTCCATACAAATTCAGGGAAAACTTGAAAAAAAATCTTGGAGAGAAACTCCATGGGTTACACAGATTCTTAGAAGAAGATGAGGCTTACCATGAGGATTTTCAACTGCTTATCAGCCCTGAGTTCTCTCCCCTTCAAGGGTGACCCTATCCAAGGTAGTATTGTAAGTCTCAGATCAAATACAAACTCTTTAGTTTGTCATTAAAAACTCTTTTTAAAAATTTTTAATTTAATGAACACCAAAAAAAGAGAGAAATGGGAGAGAGAGAGAGAGAGAGAGAGAGAGAGAGAGAGAGAGAGAGAGAGAGAGAGAGAACTTATATGTGAAACCATGGATCTTACTCTTTAAAAGTATATAATAAATTTAGCATGTTATTTTCAAAGATGTTCTGCTTATCTGTGTTTCCTTCAAACTTCCTTCTGTCCCTTTTTAAAGTTGTCAAGGTTCCTCTTTTGTTTATTTTCCCTTTCTTTTGGTTACATGGTCACCATTCACCTCACAAATAAACTCATAAGCATATATATCAAAAAGTATATCAAATGCATATCCAAAACTGTCTAACTCATCCTGCGCCTGGGATCTATGACCTTTCAGTTAGGAAGTGGACAGCAGATGCCATCTTTGGTCCTCTGGAGGTGTGTTTGGTCATTGCATTGATCAGAATTCTTAAGTCTTTCCAAGTAGTTTTTCTTTTTGGCATTATTCTCATTGTATAAAATGTTGCCCTCGTTCTGCTCACTTCACTCCATCAGTTTCTATGAGCCTCCCCAGGTTTTTCTGAAACTATTCCTTTCATCATTTCTGAAGGTGTAATAATGCTCCATTACATACATATATCATAATTTGTTTGTCCATTTTCCAAATAGCCCTCTTAGTTTCCAGCTCTTTTAGGCTATCATGTCAAGCCCTTCACAGCTGGATTGCATTTTATATTTCCAAGTTTATTTCACATCATTCCTTTTTATGTACTCTTACGTTCCAGCCAAGATTAACCCGCTTTCTCCACGAGCTTGACATTCCACGGCCTGCTCCAATGCGAGTTCTTGAAATACACTTTCCTCTCTTCTCTACGTGTTAGGATCCCTCACTCCCTTCCAGGTTCAGCTCGTGCCACCTCCTATGGGAAGCTTTTCTTGATATTCCCAGTTCAGTGCTTCTAAAAAGGTATGCAACAGTACCCTGGTGGGCAGCAAAAATATAGATGTTATTGCAGATTAAAGAAAATTTATGTTACTTCATTTAATATAAATTTTACCAATTAAACATTCATAATATGGTAAGAATAATAGTTACAAAATAAACAAAACGTGTTTGTTACAACATACCTACTAAATCCAAAACACATCAGACCTTGAACTCACAAAGAATTCAACAAACATGGCACTGAGCACGTGCAAGTTTCCAAGACTACCCACAAGTATTGCCAGTTTCACTGTACTCCAGCTCCTAATGGCCAAGAATACTGCGTCCTAAACAAAAAGCTTGAGAACCATTACTCAGGTCATTAATGCTCAGTTCTAACTAATACAATCATGTGTTTTTCTGTATCTGTTTATATGTCCTATTCTTGCAGTAGGATATAAGTTCTTTAAAGGCAGAGACATTTTGTCATGTTGTCTTTATATCCCTAACAATTAACACAGTTCTTTTCCCCGTAGAAGGTGCTTAATGAAATACTTGGATTAGATTGTATTGGAGTATACAGGTCCTCGTGGTAGGACACATAATCCTTATTGCTCCAATGTCAATCTACTCCAAAGAGGAATTTTCTTCGATATATATGGACCTTTGGTCTGATCACCCTGTCCTTTATTTGATGTTTCGTTAACCTTAGTGTTTGCATGAGAACTGATACACATTCTGATGTATCCAGGGGAAGTCCTGGATGAAGACAAAATGAGCCACTAACGTATTGAGGCATACTCAAGATTGAAATCTGTCTGAGTTTGGAACTGTGATTCTAGGGGCAGGTAGGTGGCACAGTGGATACAGCACTGGCCCTGAAATCAGGAGGACCTGAGTTCAAATCCAGCCTCAGACAAACACTTGACACTTACTAGCTGTGTGACCCTGGGCAAGTCACTTAACCCCAATTGCCTAACCAAAAAAAAGAAAAAAAAAGAACTGTGGCTCTAAGCCATAGGTTACAGTGCATTGAGACAGGTACAGTGTTCAGAAGGAGGGAGGTTATGGTGCATTGTATTCTGCCTGCCTTGATTAGACCATGTGCATGCAGAAAGCAAGCACATCTGATTCATATTTTACACATGCCCATGATTCAGACTGCCTCTGGATCATTATTTCTTGCCATCTTTTAGGAAAGACATTGACAAATTGGAGTATGCCTAGAGGAGAACAAGAATAGTGGGAAGACTGGAAAATATGCCAGATGCAGATTCATGAAAAGAATTGAGTATATTTAAGCTGAAGGTAAGAAGATTTAAGAACCACTAGAAGATTTCAGGGGTGTGATTTGATGGGTTTGTCTAGTGTAAGAGGGCATATTCTTTACGGCTGTTTGACCACAGCAATAAAGGTTGGATGACTACTTATCAGGAAGGTTACCAAAGGAATTATCAGGGCACTTTTTATCCCTAGGACCACATGGGTAAACGATCCTTAGGGCAAACGATAGGAAACATGCCCTCAAGGTAAGGAGCTTATCTGTGGTGTAGGCACCAAGAGAGGAAGTGGGTCAGATGGTAGCTTCCTATTTTAGCTAATTCTTACTAACTATGCCTTAAGTCTGGGTACTTTTCTTTTTCTGTTGAAAAACTAGGAGTGCTTTCCGTGCCATTTAAATTCAGCGCTCCAGAACAAAAGCAGCATCACTTCACCCTAGTTACAACTCTGGGTAGTCCTATCGGCATCCAGATCGAACAACATAACCAGTGAAGATCCCTTCCAGCCCTGAAATTCTGTAACAAAACTTTGGTATTAGCTTCTAGTCTTGTTTATGAGGGGCAGCATGGGATAGTGGAAAAAGCACAGGGTTTGGAGCTATGATACATAGTCAACTCTCATCTCAAACTTTTATTAGCTGGGTCACCATGAACAAGTCATTTAAATTCTGTGGACCTCAGTTTATTGATCTATAAAATGGGAAACAATATTTACACTACCTACCTTGCATTCTTGTTGTAAGGATATCTCTATGTAAACTTTACAAAGTTATATTAATTATTTATTATTACTGTTATTTATGGGTCTGCAGTGGCCTTTCTTTCACAACTTCTAAATGATGTTTGGGCTAATTTGGTTCGGTATATATACATATATATATGTGTGTGTGTGTGTGTGTGTGTGTGTGTGTGTGTGTGTGTGTATATATACACACACATATATACATACAGACACACACAGGGGAGAATTTACATATGTTAGGACCATAGATTGGGTTGGGACAACACAGGACCAGATGTTGTCTGCGGTTATTCCAGTTATGATAGGAGTCTAGGATGACACTGAGGCTATGACCCTGGGAAACTGGAAGAAAGGTGTCGTCTTCAACAAAAATAGGAAAGTCTAAAAAAGACTGGGTTGAAGGACATCTTTAATCCCTCACTTTCCCTGCATGGCCGGCCAACCTCTTTTTCCCATCAAACTCTTCAAAAATAATGTCTTTTAAGCTACTTCTTATGTGCAAGCTATTGATGACAGCATGCTGCTGCCGCCCACCGTGCATCTTCCCATTGGCCTTTCAGCCACCTGCAATTCTAATTCTCCAAAGATCATGGCGTTCTCTCATGACTCACAGACATATGGACATCAGCAATTGCCAACCCACCCGCCTACTTCCTCATCCCTCTGAGAATGGGCTATGCACATGTCCAGAGTATTCTTGCTCAAAATGTGAGAAGGGAACAAACAGGCTTTCACAGACAGTCCTCTACACCAATGGCACAACTGACTGAGAGATGTGGAAAAGACCAAATGTTGCCAAAAACCAAACTTTGCTGGTTTTTTATTAAGAAAAAAAAAGCATTCAACACAAGCTTTCCTCCAAGCCTCCGGAAATGTTATTTCTAATTTGCCAGTCCTGGTGGGCATTTTAAGGGAGCAGACCCAGGCAAAGAACACAGATTTTCTTAGCTACAGCTTAGTTCAAACCTTATTAACAGATGTAATGAGGATATTTTTCTCCTCTTTTTTTGCCTAACAAAACAGATTTTACAATTATGTAAGTTGGTAAAATGATAAATGTAGGAAATTCTCTGTGAAACTTGGTATCTAGCTAGCCAAAAACCAGTGAGATTTCAAGTGAGGCAAAAAAGGAATCATTTATTCTTTCTTAAGAACTTTTAATTTAAAAAAATTTTTCAAGTAACAAGAATAACAATTGTCCCTCCTACTACTTCTCCTCTTCCTCAATGGGTGAATTTAAAAACAAAGCAAATGCAAAAAATAAATTCATCAATACATATCTACATAATCTGGCAAAACAAATTCCTTCATTAGCCACATCATGAAGATGTATATCTCTTTCTGCATTTTAAGTTCACTACTTCTCAGGGGGAAAGTAGAATATTTCATCTTCATTCTTTTGGAATCATGGCATATCATTATGTTCATCAGAGTTCTCAAGTCCTTCTAAGTTTTTTTCATTATAATGTTATTATTGAGCAAATGATTCTCTTAGTTCTGCTTCCTTCAGTCTGCACCAGTTCATAAAGGTCTTCCCAGTTTGCTCTACAACTGTCGCTTCATCATTTATTATGGCACAATAAAATTCCACTACATTCATATACCACAATTTGTTTAGCCCTTCCCCAATAGACACTTTATTAGTTTCCAAGTTTTGACTACCACAAAAAGAGCTAATATCAATATTTTTGCACATATAGATCCTTTTCCTCTTTGTTCTATTTCTCTGGAGTATAATTCTAATAAGGTCTATGCATGATTCACTTTATGTGAATTCTTCCAAATTGCTTTCTAATGTGGCTAGACCAATTCTCAGCTATACTTACAGTACCTTAATGTGTATGTTTTGCTACAGATCATCCAATATTGAATCCTTTTCCTCTTGTAATCTTTGCTGTCTGAGAGTATGAAGTGGAATTTCAAAATTGTTTTAATTTGCCTTTCTCTAATCATTACTGATGTAGAGGATTTTTTTGTACCACAACTCTTCTTAATAAAATCAACATCAAGGGGCAGCTAGATGACATAGTGGATAGAGTACCAGCCCTGGATTCAGGAAGACCTGAGTTCAAATCTGCCCTCAGACACTTGACACTTACTAGCTGTGTGACCCTGGGCAAGTCACTTAACCCCATTGCCTCACAAAAAAAATTAAATTAAATTAACATCATGATGGAATACTACTGTGATGTAAGAAATTATGAGCAGGTTGATTTTAGAAAAACATAGAAAGACGCATGAAATAACAAAGAGTAAAATAAGTAGAACCAACAGAATGTTGTATACAGTAACAGTGATATTGTTTAAAGAGTAAATGTGAATGACTAAGCTAGTCTGAATAAAATGAACATTCAAATCAGCTACAAAGGACCTACGAAGGGAGAGGCTATCCCCTTCTAGAGACAGAAATGATATATGGAAGTGTATATTGTAGGGTTTCACATACATATCTGTGTCAAATGTTGGCCTTCTCTAGTGCAGGGTTGAGAGGGGCAGGGGGAGGGAGACAGCTTGGAACTCAAAATATAACAACAACAAAAAGAACCATGCTAGCTGTGTGACCATGGTTAAGTCACTTAATTTCACAGTGGCCAAGGCAACTTTCTAAGATTACAAATTACAGACAAGTTGTTGATTAGCATCTGTTTGAACAGAAGGAATTTTCACCCTGGGAGTTATCTAACATGATGACATCAGAGGTCTGGTTTTATAAACAAAAATTACTTGGGCACACTGTCACAAGGCCAAACCAACCTTGAGTAGGCGGTTCTCAGTCTATGAACTGCAGACATCTGGGAGCCAGAAGTCATGGCAAAGTCATGAGGACCAGTACTCTGTGAAGAAAACTAGACACAGTTTGAATTAGTTCTCTGTACCCTCACCCCCAGGTGGATTGATCTGAAACTCAGGTGTGTTTGTCTCCTGTGATGAAATATATTTCCACCTATTGGACAGGGTTTCTCAGACCTACCAACCCAAAGTGCAAATTTTTCTGTGTTGGCTTCTTTTCTCTCCACTGATGCATACCACATACCTGCTTAGTCTTGGCAATTATTTACCTGATCCCTCTGGTTCTGACTCCATTGTGCCAGACAAAGGAATTTCCTCCATTAACACAAAGCATCCACAAATCCATATGTTCACTGAGAATTTGTAAAATAAAATAGAATTAATATTGTTTGCCCTTTTAGAGCAACTTTTTTTCCAAAGTGCTTTGAAAACCCATTTATAAGGATTCCACACTATCCTTTGTTTTGTCTCCAAAGCCCTTCACAAACTCATTTCCTCCTACCTTTCCATCCTTCTTACACTTTACTCCCATGGCCTGCTCTATGATCCAGTGATGCTGGGTTTTTTGCTGTTCCTAGAACAAGTCACTCCATCTCTGCACTCCAGGCATTTTCTGTACCTTTTCCCGATTCCTTGATTTTTTTCCCCCTTCTCATCTCTATCTCCTGGCTTCCCTGGCTTCCTTTGAGTCCCATTCAAAATCTTACCTTCTACAAGAAGCCTTTCCTGACCCCTCTTATTTCTAGAGCCTTCCTTCTACTTACTGTCTCAAATTTATCCTCTATGTATCTTGTTTATACATAATTATTTTCATATTGCGTTACCCATTAGTCTTTGAGGTCCTTGAAAGCAGGGACTGTCTTTTCTCTTTCTTTGTATCCCTAGAACTTAGCATACAGTGCCTGGCACATAGTAGGTGCTTAATAAATGCTTATTGATTGACTGACTCTCCCCCTTGAAGAAGTAGGTAATTGGGTTCTGTAGCCTTTTATGACAGAATGTGAAAGTGAATGCTTTGATCTGGTGGAACAGGTTTGGAGAGGGCAGGTGAAATTAGATTGGCAATCTGGGCTTTAGTCTCATCATTTGAACAAAAACAAAAAGGTCAAGAGGATGATCATGTGTGTAGGATATTGCAGAAGAGATTTCTGTATGGGTTGGAGGCAAATGATGAGATCGCAGGTCATAGACCTATGGGAAACATGATGTAGTGGGAAGGACACTGAACTAGTAGGAAAAAGTCCTGGGTTCAAGTTCTTGCCCTGACCTCTGTTGTCCTTCCCAACTCTGTGATTCTATAAGCCTAGGACTTCCTGGCCGATTCTCATTCCACTATACCACACTGCCTGTAGCTAGAGGTATTAAGGGAAATCTCTTTGATTGATGCCTATCAAGCCCCAGAATTGCAGTTGCCACAGTTGCTACAGTAGGCATTGGTCTCTGGGAATCCTGCACTAAATAGAAAGATCTCCAGATCTGGACTGAGGGTGGTTAATTGGCTTATGCTCTTGACTCTTTACCTACTGATTGCTTCTCTTCCTGTCTCAGAGTCCTAACAATCTCAGTTCCTCACTCTGGCCCCAATATTCACCAAGACACTCAGCCTTTCTGGATGACTTTTCCATTTCCTTTGGCTCATGCTGACTCTACTTCCTCTTCTGTCAAATGAAGAGGTTCGATTAACTGGTCTATTATAGCTTTCGCATTCTCTGATCCAAAGTTAACCTAGGTATTGGCATAGATCTTGTTAGCCTGGCCTAGCCAGAAGTCATGTATTAGGAAGACATTTGAAGATGTTAGGGATGTTTGGTGTCACCTTATCACTCTCTATCCTTGCCTATTAAAATCTAATCCTTTAAAATGCCATGAAAAATCATCTACTCCTCCCTTCCCTTCCCTAAGACTCCAGGACCCTCACCTCCAGCTTTCCCACAATAGATAATCTGTTGCTTCATCTTTGTGGGAACATGAAGCCATACTAGAGAGAGCTCCTATGAAGAGCAATGTCCCCTCTGTTGCCTATCTATAGTCCAGAATATGAAGAAATTTATAAAGACAATTGTTTCTCTTCATATCAGCTTTGAAGAAAAAGTTTTGCCAAATAAATTAATATTGCAAATTAGATAAGGTTCAGTTACTATAGTTAGATAGTTGGAAGTATTTAACAGAAAAGCTACTCCCTCTTGGATGGCCCCCAACTTCATGTGGGCAAAGTCATCCTTTCCCAACTCTTCTCTTCATCAGGACCAGGAGTTGAATGGAAAATCCCTTAGTCAATTCCTTTACTCCTCCCTCACTCAAGGTTAAATGGGATCTATGACATTGTTGGAGAGAATAGTGAGGGGGAGGAAATTTGCCTGAGATGCCTGCCTCTAAGGGAAGCATCTCCTTTTTAATTACCCTGACTCCTTCCATCACTTAAATCTGTTTAATCATGTCTTGGGAATGAGGTAGGTGGCCCAGTGGAAAGAGTGCCAGGGTTGGAGTCAGGAAGGCTTTCTGAGTTCAAATCCAGCCTCAGACACTTACTAGCTGTGTGACCCATGTGAAAATATGTGCTTACGTGAAACAGGTTCCTTTCTTTCTGTCATCCTTTCTATTTTCTTTCTCTCTTGTTTCTTCCTTCCTTCCTTCTTTATTTTATCTTCCTTCCTTCCTTTCTTTTTCTTCCTCCCTTTCTTTCTTTTCCTTCCTTTCTCCTTTCTCTCTCTCCCTCCCTCCCTCCTTCCTTCCTCCCTTCCTTCCATTCTTTCTTTATTTCTTTCTTTCCAGGGGAAAATCAGGAGGGAGAAAAAAAAAATAAGTGCTTGACACTTAAATTATATGCTTAAATTATAATAATAATTTTTAAAAGGAAAGTTGTATGTGCTATCAGATGAAGTTCTCTGTCACTTGGTTTTACTTAACTGTTTTTTCTTTGTTACAAGGGAGAGCTCATTTAGCATTTGTTTTGGAGGTGGAGGGAAACAACAATATCTGGATATGATTGTGATCTAAAAACTAAAGGCATCAATAAAATGTATTTTTTTAAAAAACACATGGAAGAAGCTAGTAACACCTGAACATGGATTGTTTTCATTAGCTCCACAGCTGCATGATTCCCCTAAGGGCTGGAGGAGGGGTAAGGGGTAGAAAACAAATTCCTTCCTCCACATTTTAGCTGTCTTCCAAGCTCTAACTGGGAGGTCCACATATAGATGCCTCCTCATTAATTTAAGCACTTCCTGCAATGCCTCTGGAAGAAAGCATCAACAGACACCCACTGGTTTTTCATGTAGCAAGGTACTCAGTAAGTCAAGTCAATTGGTTCTACTGACTGCTTCCCTACTGCCTACAAACATACCCATGATTCTCTCGCCCTAAAAAACCTTCACTTAATCCTTCCATCTACAGCTCTATATCTCTCCTCCTTTTGTGGCTAAACTCCCCAGAAGGACATCTACAATCCATGCCTTCCACATTCTCTCCTCTTACTCTTTTAATTCTTTACACTCTGACTTCCAACCTCAGGATTCAACTGAAACCGCTCTCTCGGAAGTTACCAGAGATCCTTGAATTGCCACACCCAGTAACTTTTTCTCAAACTTCATCCTTCTTGACCTCTTTCTGCGTTTGACACTAGCTGACAACCACAGGTCTCTGTCATGGGTCCTCTTCTCCCTCTATACTTCTTCGCTTAGTGATCTCTTCAGCTCCCATTAATTTAATTATCATCCCTTTTTTTTTAGGCAGTTGGGGTTAAGTGACTTGCCCAGGGTCACACAGCTAGTCAGTGTCAAGTGTTTGGTCTGAGGCCAGATTTGAACTCAGGTACTCCTGACTTCAGGGCCGGTGCTCTATCTACTGCGCCACCTAGCTGCCCCAATTATCACCTTTATGCTGCTGATTCTCAAATCTACCTACCCTGCCCTAACTTCTTTGCTGATCTCTGGTTTAGTATTTCCTACTGCCTTTCAGACATCTCAAACTGGATGTCCATCTTAAACTTAACATGTTCAAAGCTGAACTCATCATCTTTCCCCCAAAACTCTCTTCCCTATCCGAACTTCTCTATTACTTTTGAAGCCACTGGCATCCTCCTAGCCATCCAGGCTCACAGCATAGATTATCCCGAACTCCTATCTCTCGCCATCCCACCCCAACTCGCCCCAACACGCACCATATCCAAACTGTTGCCAAGGTCTTTTGATTTCACCTCTGCAACGTCTATTGACTATAGCCCATTCCCTCCTCTGATGTTGCCACTGCCTTGATATAAGGCCTCATCACCTTACTCCTGGACTACTGCAATATCTTGCTGATTGATCAGCCTGCCTCAAGTCTCACCCCATTCCAATCCATCCTCCATTTAGTTGCCAAAGTGATTTTCCTAAAATTCAGTTCTAACCATGTCACCTTCCTGAGAATAATTCCCAGTGGCTCTCTATCACCTCCAGAATCAAAAACAAAATCCCCTGTTTAACATTCAAACCCTTTCATAACCTCCTGCCTTCTACACACACAAATCTTTTCAGTCTCCTTACACCTTGCTGCCCAGCTCTACCTCCTGGCTTTCCTTTAAGTCTTCATTAAATTCTCATCTCCTACAGGTAGCCTTTTCCAACCCCTCTTAATCGTAGTACCTTATCTCACTTAATTATTTTCTATTTATCTTGTATATGGCTTATTTGTACATGTTTTTTCCACTCTCTGTGTCCCCAGCACTGAACGTAGTGCCTGGTTCATAGTGGGTGCTTAACAGATATTTACTGACTGACTGAAATCTCACATTCTCTGCTGCTCTGCGGATTCAGATATCACTTGCTCAACATGGGAATGACACTGGACACAAGGTGTCACTATACTCCCAGCATGGAAAATGCAAACCAGCAGCAAGGCTATAAAAGGTTACAACAGTAGTCTCCAATATAGGAGACTGACTCTAAAGGGGTGTGTGAATCAACAAGAAGGTGGAAATATGGGTCACATCTCACTCTCCCTGCAATATAGCCAATAGTGGTTCTTGTCTCCAACACAACCACGCTTCTCTTCGCCTCAGCCCTTCCCCACTCTGCCCTCTTTCTCCTCCCTGCCAGCTCTCTACTGCTCCTTCTCTGCCAGGTGTGAATGTCTTGGGGAAGTTATAACTTCATCACTCCCTCTAGCACCCGCAGAACTTACTGAGAGTGAATACACAAAATCTTATTTTCAGATTGGGTTGCACAATCAAAATTGTTTTGAGACCAGTGGATTAGAAAAGCAAAATCTGTAATCACAGTGACTTCCTAACTATAGTGCCTCTGTGTCCTGGCCAATATCTCTGGTATCAGAGCAGACACCTGTTCATAGTTCATGCCTACATGCCTTTTTTTTCAGATTGCTAATTTCAGCATGGACGAATTTTTAAAAAACATTTATTAAGCCCTTACTATGTGCCAAGACTAGAGTCTGGTGTTTTCCTGTGTCTCTTTTGTTGGATCAAACAAGTGGCCGCCTAAGCTACCTTGCTCCTGTCCCTATGCTAGAAATTCTACCACTTTAGAAACCAATTACTTTTTGTTCTTGGAAAATATTTTTGGTCCTACCAGATGAAAGGATCAGTTGATATCAAGGCATTGGGGGACTGGGACACAGGAGAGTAACCTGGGAGACAGAAGATAGACAGACTCCAGTAAAGGAAAAGAAGGAGCTCCAGATGATCGCCAAATAGAAGTTTGGCCTGCTCCACAATTTTGCCTAAGATCATTATTTCTCTATTCTTTCTCATTATTTCTTTAGGCTGTCTCTATTCACACTACTGTTCTGCTACCTTGAGGATAAAAGAAATAAGTGTCCCCAAAGTGAAGTGTCCACTGAATAGGTCATTCAGGTAAAAATCTCCCATGCCAGGTTGCTAAAAGTCCTCCCTCCTCCAGCCCTCCTCATCTCACCCTTCCTTTCCTCCATCCAACTTATAAAAAGTACAAGTACCCACTATTTTAAAAATAAGATTCAACTTACGAAAATTCAGTTCATGGAGAGATGTCAGAAAAATGTTTATGGAAGCTTCCCTATGCCTTTCCCAGGTAATATTTTCTAGAATGAAATTAAATTCAGCAAATTCTTATTAGCTGCCCACCATGTAGAAGGCACTATTTTGGGTGAGACAAGCAATCCCTGTCCAGAAGGAGTTTACATTATTTACTAGGGAGTTAGAACCAGTACACAGAAAAGTAAATAGAGGGGCAGCTAGGTGGAGCAGTTGCTAGAGCGCCGGCCCTGGAGTCAGGAGGTCCTGAGTTCAAATCCGGTCTCAGACCAAACACTTGACACTTACTAGCTGTGTGACCCTGGGCAAGTCACTTAACCTCAATTGCCTCAAAAAACAAAAAAAACCCAAAAAAAACCCTGAAAACAAAGAAAAGTAAATAGCAAACAATTAGGGAAAGGAAGGAAAGCTAACTATGGGGTTCAGGGTAGACAGTAAAGGAGGTAGACCCCAACTTGACCCTTAAAGAATTCTAAGTGTTAGATGTGGGAAAAAAAAGGCTATATTCCAGGAATGGGAGTGGAGTGAGGCGGTCTGAACAATGGAATGAAGACAGGAGACAGAATATTGCATTTGGGGAACAGTCAGTAGGCCAGTTTGTAAAGAGGAATCATTTGAAATGCCTAGAAAGGAAACATGGGGCAAGAATAGAAAGAGCTTTAAATGCTAACCTGAAGAGTTTGTACAGGGAGCCACAGATTTCTTTAAGCAGACTGATCGACAATATTGTGTTAACCTACTCATTAATGCTCATAGAGAATCACAGAAATTTCAGGCTGGAAGGGTCAGCCAAGACCTAGAAAGGGGGCAGGTATCATAGTTATCACAGAATTTAGTGCTAGAAGGGACTCCAAAGATCATCTAGTCTGACACCTTCTCTTTACAGATGAGGAAACTGAGTTACAAAGAGGTAAAGTGATTTGCCAGATCATGGCAGAGTCAGTACTGGAAGCCAAGTCTCCTTTTCCACTGTACAACTAGATAGATAAATAGATAGATTGGTAGATATAGACATAGATAGATAGATACAAATAGATACACACATATATACACATATATACAAACATACACATACATATATAAACACATACATATATACATATATACATATATACATATATACATATATACATATATACATATATACATATATACATGCATATGTAAATACATGCATATACACATACATACACACACATATATGTATTGCATTAGATTATAAACTCCTTGAGAGCAGGGGCTGTCTTTTGCCTCGTTTGTATTCCCAGTGCTTAACCCAGGGTCACACAGTTAATAATTGTCGGAGACTGGATTTGTGCTCATGAAGATAAGTGTTAATTTGTCTATAATTGCTTTAGGTGATGCATCTTGTGTTTTGCTAACATTGTATGGGTTTTTGTGAACCTACTTTCCAAATCTATTATAGTACATTTTCCTTTACAGTTCCAAAGACTAGTATTATATTTAAGTCTTAATACATTAAGACTAGTATTACATAGGTGTTGATTGTTTATTACTGGTGTTGTTAGAGTGAGGGAGGAAGGGACAAAAGAAATGGGAAGGGAGGAAGGGAAGGAGCAAAGGCAATTCCCCAAGGTTAGTTGAAACAGTCTGAGTTGGTTTTCTAAAGTAAGTAAAGTAATGTTTGCAGTGGAAAGACATGACTACAAGTAGGCTCAGGACCTGGGATTTAAGGAGCAGTTTGAAGTCTGGTGTGAAATGCTACTGCTTTGACATTTGTTGTCTCTTTGCTTCGTTTGAGAACATTTATTCAGAGAGAACAAAGCTAGATTTCCTCATGTCTGGTGAGAGCCATCCCCATGAGCTAGTGCTCAGGACATTGGCTCAGCCAGGAGCTCCTTCCTTCCAGCCTCACTTTGCTCCAGGCCTGTGGAGCCCTTCTCCAGAAAATGTTTCTCCCTTTTCTTGGTGTGGAGGCCAACATCTTTATGCTCTGGCAGACTGCTGCAGGATGTGCTCAGACCTCACCTGCCAACAAAAGCAAGAGGCTGGATAGACTTGGCTCCCAAGACCAGTTTCCTGAAACTACTCAGGCATGGTTCATGCCTTAGAACCTTACCTCTTTAAAGTGCAGTACCTGGAACCAAACCCTTCCATTCTCATAAACAGTCAAGCCAGCTTTCATTCTATGCTCTTTTAAAGCACTTTCCTGGTAACAGTCCCCAGAGAGTGAGTAGAACACATTCTCATCCCTATTAAACAAACTGACACTGAACAAAGGGAAGTGACTTGCCCAAGGTCATTCAGCTAATTTGTGTCAGAGCTGGTCTATGAATCCTCTGTCTCTTGATTCTAGGTTCTATGAGCTTTGTACTATGCCAGACTACCACTCATCTAAACAACAACCAGAAAAAAAGAGCAAAGAAGCTCAGACTCCTAGCAGTTCATAGCAAGACAGGACCGTGAAGACTGTCTATCACCTAGTCCAATGCCCTCATTTTACATACGAGAAAACTGATTGGGAGACATGACAAAAATCACTCATTGAGTAACTGGTGCAACCAGAACTAAGACCCCAGGCCTTTTAACTCCCCATTCGATAACCTATCTTCTATGCCTTTTTTTTTTTAAAGAAATCAAGACAAATTTATTTTTAACAAAGAACTGTCATCTCTCCTGCCCTCCCCTTCCTCAAGAAAAGAAGCAGTTGTAGCAGACAGAAAAACTAACAGAGAGGCCCAGACTGCAGGCAATAGAGACAGAATGATGTTTAGCGTGTCCAGGCTCCCCCAGGGCAGCCAGCATCTTGATCTACTAGGGGCAGATTAGAGAGCTGAGACTGGAGTGCGGTGAATTTTCCCCTGGCCAAGAATCCAGGTGGCTAGTAGAACGCCTCCTATCTCTCCTTTCTTCCCATTTCCTTTCTTCACCCATGTCGACTTGTTGAGGTTTAGGGATGCTGGGACCCCAAAATCACAACACGCAGGTCCTGTCAAAAAGAATTCGACCCAAGCCTTCTTTCAGCCAAAGACAAGGTTTATTAGAACATCAACTGTATTGGGTAGGCTCTTGAGGAGTCTGAACATTAGTGAGCTATTGCCTAGATTATAAGAATCTGAGCCTCTTCTATGCCTTTTTGTCCACGTTGAGGTTTCTTCTCTTTGTTGAAAGGTAGAACACCCATCTGGCTGCCTCTGTTGAGCCTGCCCCAGATCTTTGCTCTTCATTCGTCCTCTGCTTTCTTTGGCTTTGGAATGCATAGCATTTGTTTAACTGAGTTTAATTTAAATTTTTGTTAACTGTAGGCCCATGCTATTTTAATTCTACTTAGTTTGGACAAGTATTAAAATAAGTTTGGGTGTACTTGCTGGTGATGAGTCCTGGACAGCAGGAAGAAATCAGTTGATGAATTATTTTTGACAGTCCCAAAGTGGAAATTCCACATAGCTGAGAGCTGACTATTCTTCATCCGCATTGAACTCTTGACAATTAGAAGCATAGGGCTTAGTAAGGATAGAAAGAAAATCAACAAGCCATAGAAAAAACTGAGGAAGGAAAAGCAGCTTGGGAGGAGGCAGGGTGCCACAGTGGAAAGAAGGCTGTATTTGAAGTCAAAGGTTCAGGGTTCAATTCCTGGGTCTGCTATTTGACTATGCATATGCAAGTCACAACCTCCTGGAATCACAATGTCTGCATCTGTAAAACGAAGGTAATTGCACAAAATGATTTCTAAGGCCCTTTCTAGTTCTAAAATTGTGATACATAGCAATAAGCTATGTTAGACATTCCTCAAGCTTACAATTGAAGGCATTGTCTGGATTGACGCACCATAGTCCAATAGAGAAATTACTAACATTCTTCTTCTGACTCTTTAGGGTTTGTCTAAATGGGACTTTAGAAGCCATTTGGAGACCTAGACAACTGTTAAGGAATAAAGAAAATTTAGAGACCATACAATCCAGTCCCTTCCTTTTTATAGTTCAGGAAACAGAGTCCCGGAGATGGGAAATGACTTGTGAAAAGTCACTTAGGGTTAGTGTGAGAGGCAGGTATAGGACCCAAGTCTTATGACTTCCAGTTCAATCTAATTAAACATTTATTAATCACCTAATTAAGAGTCCATACCTAGTAAACCTACTATGCCTACTTCTCAAGTCTATAAAACTTCATAAAAATATAAATACGAAATTAAAAATATAAAAACATAAACTTTATTTTTTTTTGGTGAAGCAATTGGGGTTAAGTGACTTGCCCAGGGTCACACAGCTAGTAAGTTTCAAGTATCTGAAGCCAGATTTGAACCCAGGTTCTCTTGACTTCAAGGCCAGAACTCAATCTACTGCACCACCTAGCTGCCCCCAAAATATAAACTTTTTGAGGGTAGGAATTATTTTTCATCATGTGTATATTCCCAACGCCCAGCCTGTAGGAAGGTCTTGATCCCTGAGGCATCTAGGTCATGCAGTAGACAGAATGTTGACTTGGAAGCAGAGAGACCAGTATTCAAGTCCTCCCTCAGACATTTATCCCCAATGGGAATCTAATAAGTCAATTTCTCTTGGTCTCAATTTATCTTCATCTGTATAGAGAAGATAATAAGTGCACCTGTCTCACAGGGGTGTTGTGAGAATCAAATGAAATAATATATGTAAAAGGCCATATAAACACTAGATATTAATGATAATAATAGCAATTTGTTATTGTTTAGTCATACTGACTCTTCACGGCCCTTTCTAGGTTGTCTTGGCAGAGATACTGGAGTGGTTTGCCATTTACTTTTCCAACTCATTTTAAAGATGAGGAAACTGAGGCAAACAGGGTTAAGTGACTTGACCCTGGGCAAGGGTCACACAGCTAGTAAATGTCTTCAGGCAGATTTGAACTCAGGAAGAGGAGTCTTCCTGACTCCAGGCCTAGCACTCTATCCACAATAACAATAATCACTGTTTATTGGACTGGATCTGCACATACATTGAGGGCGTCCTTGATGAAAATACAGGAAGGGTTTTGCTTCTTAGCAGGCTTTCACAAAATGATTTTCTCCAGCAGGCCACATCTTTACAGCCACACAATTGACCAAAAGCTGTAGAGATAGGAAATTCCACTGTATTTATTTTTGCTGATTACAAAGAAGCATTTTCCTGGTAGAATAATATGCAGTTTTAAACACTCTCCCAAGGTGCATAGTAAGATCACATGAACTTTGGTGCAGCAAGAGCTGAACTGGTGGGGCAGCTCCTCTAGCAGCAGCAAGAAGGGTGGAGTGCTACACCATGTCTGTAGAAAACTTTAAAATAATAAACATCATAACATACATGGAAGTTAATATGGACAACTCTGAGATATAGTCACATTGATACATGAGGACCACGTGCACATTTAGCTAATCAGTTCATCTTGTTTGTTTTCTCTTTTTGGGTTTTTTTTTTTGGAGAGTAAGTTTGGAACAGAACTGTTCGATCTTGCTTTGGGCACAATTTGGGTCTCAAACTCCTGTAGTACTACATATTCTGCATTTAAACAGTGGATTCAAAATGAGCAATGATAGCAGAGCAATTGTAAAAATGAAGAAACAAAACTTGGGTTATTTCCGTTCTGAAGTGACCATCATTCGATGTGATTACTTGGAGTCGTATTTGTTTGAAATCTAAAACAATGAAAAAGAGAATGTGAACTTTGAGGTGTAATATTTTTGTTTGGTAAACGTAAATTTTAATTTACATATGGAATAGTTTACTGAATTTTAATATTGTCTTTAAAGTTTAAATTTATTCTTTTAAATTTGTTCACTGCTTTAAAAGTAAAGAATGTGCTTTTTGCAGACATTTCAGTTTTATTAAAGTTCATTGGTGAAATGGGATTTTTATGGATCTCTTCTAAACTTATATTTGTATGTATGACTTTTTCTATTTTTATTTATTTATTTATTTATTCATTCATCCATTCATTTATTTATTTGCTCACTTATTTATTTATTTATTTTGGGGGGGGTGGCTAAGCAATGGGGTTAAGTGACTTGCCCAGGGTCACACAGCTACTAAATGTTATGTGTCCAGGGCTGGTGCTCTATCCATTGCGCCACCTCGCTGCCCCGTATGACTTTTTCTAACTAATTATATAACTGTTGCTTCATGTAAAAGAAAATTTTCAAAACTAAAATTAATAATCTATTGACTAAATGATGATTGATTGAGAAATCTTACCATATTGTCTATTGAACAAGACATATCAAGATTAGTTTTGACACATTTGCAGAAGGGAAGGTTCAAAAACCAGAAATTGTAATGTTATATTACTGCAATAGACCAATATGGAGGTATAATTTATTTCCTTTTTTCCCAAAAAATACATTAATATAATTTAAAGTATTAATCTATGTTTTTTTTCCCCTTTGACTGTTTTCATCTTTCGGACCAGTTGGCCAATCTCTTTTGAATTCATTGAAGGAAGCACTATCTTTTACCAAGACTTCATGTAGTTACACAATATCATTTGCAAAAAGAAGAATCTGGACAGCCTCCTTATCTGCAGTGATCCTCCATGACACTGATGCATGGACACTTTTGGCAGGCATATGCTTCCCTATTTGAGACTTTGCTTGTTATCGATACTCAGAGGATCCCAGAAGAGTAAAATGTAATATTAACAACAGAGACAAAAAGAAAAGAATGCTTTCTCCCCTCTGTCCTAAGGAATAGAATTGAGGTCACATAAAAAGAACCCCCCCCAAAAAAAAGCAAGGAAATAAAGCAAACTTGAATCAATCTGGGTGGAGTAGAGATGAATAATTCCTGGAAATTTTGAGAATCCATTGGAGGTACAGGCAAAACTGTAACTTGTTCTGTTGTGTCTGACTCTTTGTGAACTCATTTGCGATTTTCTTGGAAACGATACTGGAGTGATTTGCCATTTCCTTCTTCAGCTTATTTTACAGATGAGGAAACAGAGGCAAATAGGGCTAAGTGACTTACCCAGGGTCACACAGCTAGTAAATGTGAGAGGCTGGATTTGAACTCAGGTCTTCCTGACTCCAGGCCCTGTACTCTCTCCACTGCACCACCTAGCTGCCCATCCCCAAACTGCAATTAGGGACCCAATTTTAGAGAGCAGTAACAATACTTGTAATTCTTCAGCAATGTAGAAACAAATGTTTAACACACCATTAGCAAGAATAATTAATTAAAATATTAGCTTTCAGAGTTTACAACCTGATCCCAACCTCTTTCCAACCTTATCACACATTACTCACTTCCCTAGATTCTATGGTCTATCCAACGCGGCTTTGTCGTTGTTCCTTACAAAATGGACAGCCATTGAGGTTCTCTCTTTCTTCCTTTTTTTTTTTTGGTGAGGCAATCGGGGTTAAGTGACTTGCCAAGACTCTCACAGCTAGTAAGTGTCAAGTGTCTGAGGCTGAATTTGAACTTAGGTCCTCCTGACTCAGGGCTGGGGGGGCGGGGAGTGTGATGGAATCTTTGGGGAAAAGTGGAAGTAAATGTGCTACTTGGAGAAGGGATGGACTGGTGTTCTTTACACATCTAAAGTCATTTTGTTAGCTTAGGGAGCATAAAAACGCATGACTGGGCTTGGTTTGCTCATAAAATTACAATATTTGGAATATTTAGAGAAGTGAAGCACTTAAAAAAATAGCTAACCTGAAATATTAGTGAGGGGAAGCCTCTTAAATTCATGTTTTAAAAAATCCTTCAAATGAAAAAGGATTTTCTGAAGTCCAGTCTTCCTCCTGGGACTTCACACCCCTTGAAGGGGCATGGTGAAAAGAAAGAAGACTGTTTACAAGAACAAAGGAGAAGGGAGAAGTAACAGAATCAGCAAAGCCATATGAGCTGGGCAAATAAGACAGCATTTTGGGCTGTGCTTTCAGTAATCCCTTGCCTATTCTTTATGGCAATTCCCTGGCCTGGGTCCACCTCCAGGCAGGTCTGTGGGAAAGGGGATGGCAGAATCATGTTGCTCTGGGGAATTTTTCTGCTGCTGTTTGATCCTGTTCGTGGTAGGCAGGTGCTTTTTCTAAATTACACTTCATAGTGGCAGGTCATTTCCCACTCTTCTTTTTAACCAGCTCCTCCTCATTCACCAACCCCTCTGCACACACAAGTCTTGATTTTCAACAGAGGGAAATTAAAGAGATATCCAAGAAAGCCAGAAGCTTCAAAAGTGAATAGAAAAGTAAATGATGCTTCTTTCATGGGGTCTATAAAGAAATCCCCAAGCAGAAAGAGACTCAGGGTTCACAGTGAGCCCCTACTCTCCTAAAAGTTTTCTTCACTCCCTAATGGAATATCACCCAAGAAGACACTTCTCCTTTTTCATCCATTACTACTAGTCCTAACATCATAGAAAGAAATGACCCTTCCTTTGTGATTGATGGGACTTACGTGTAATTTTCATTGCTGTAATCTGGAAAGGACCTTAGAAATCACTGTCCCCGATGTGTTACCTTGTAAGTGGAAGGTGTGGGATTTGAACCCAGATCATCAGACTTTCAATCCTGAAACTGAGACTCAGGGTGAGTGTATGACTTAAAATACTTGCAATCCTCTATTCTGCAATATACATGTACATATATATGCTAACAAAATGACTTTAGATACATAAAGAACATTAATCTATTCCTTCTCTGCATTAGCAAGAATAATTAGTTTAAAATATTACCTTTAGAGACTTTACAATCTGGCCCCAGCCTCTTTCTAACCTTGTCATACACTACTCACTTCCCTAGATTCTATGATCTGTCCAACCTGGCTTTCTTGCTGTTCCTTACAAAATGGATGGCCATTGAGGTTCTTTCTAACTCTGAAATTCTGTAATCTTATGATTCTGACTGCAGGCTTCTGTGTCCTTTTTCATTGCTTGTCCCCCATACCTAGAATGTGCTTGCTCGAGCTCGAGCCACACACACACACACACACACAACCTAAGGCTTTACTTAATTCTTCAGAATAGATCCACATCCTTTTTTGGCCTACATTATGAACTTGCTAGTAGAATCACAGACTTGGAAGGAACCATCTAGTCCAACCCCACCCTTTTACAGATGAAGAAAGTGACCCAGTGACTCAGGCAGTCAACAAGCATTTATTAGCACCTACTATGTGCCAGGAGCTTCGATAAGCACTGGAAACAAAACAAAACCAAACCAAACCCAAAATAAAACAAAACATGACCCTGCTCTGATAGAGGAGGTGAAATCATTAGCCCAGTCTTACACAATTAACAACAATCTTACATAATTTTCTAAAGGACACTAAACCAGGTTTCTGATTCCAAGTTCAATGCTGTTTTCACTGCTCAACTCAATCTTTCATAGAGGGAACCTCAGAGATTATTATAGTTCAATGCCCTCATCTTGCTAAACATGAAACTGAGGTTCAAAGAGTGAAACTCAGGTCAAGAGACTTGCAGAAGGTCCCTCAGTAACAATTATCCCTAATAATCTACATTAATCCATTTGGTTTTTAGCCAGTAGCTTCTCTGTTTGAAAACACACACACATACAGTTTTATTCAACTATAGTGGCAGAGAATATCAGAGTTGGAAAAGACCTCAAAGTCACTCTGTGTGTGTGTGTGTGTGTGTGTGTGTGTGTGTGTAATCCAAGTATAAGAGGCATTCAATGGGCCTTGGACTCACGAAGGCTTTTTTCAAGACTTGCCAATCACAGTAGTTAAAGGATGAAGGGCAGTTAGGTGGTGAAGTGGATAGAGCGCTGGGCTTGAAATCAGGAAGACTCGTCTTCATGTATTCAAATCTGGTCTTAGACACTTACTAGCTGTGTGACTCTGGACAGTTTCCTCCAAAATGGGCTACAGAAAGAAAAGGCAAACCACTCCAGTATCTCTGCCAAAAAAACTTTAAAATGGGATCATGGGAGAGTGGGACACAACTGAACAATAGCATATAACATGGCAAATAACTGAGAGTGCCCTCAGGCAGTTCTCTAAAATGAAAGGCTATAAAGGAGTTGGAGATAGCTAGAAGAAGTGGATAGAGCCTGGGCCTGGAGTCAGGAGGACCTGAGTTCAAATCTGCGCTCAGACACTTACTAGCTGTGTGACCCTGGGCAAGTCATTTAACCTTGTTTGCCTCAGTTTCCTCACCTGTGAAATGAGCTGGAGAAGGAAATGGAAAACCACTAGTGTCTTTGCCAAGAAAACTCCATGGATAGTACTGGTGTGCTATGGTCCCCAGCAATAAGTGAGTTGCAGAACACCAGTGGCCAAATTTTCCACATCTGGAGTTCCCTACAGGATTGAAATAACAGCTTCAGAATGTATTATATATGTGTGTGTGCATATATATATATATATATACATATACACACATACACACATACATATATATACATATACACACATACATACACATACATACATGCATACACACATAACATATAAATGCAGGTATATATGGAGAGAGATACAACATATGTTTACACACATATTAATTAACAAGTATTTATTAAATTCCTATTACTTCAAGGCACTGTACTAGGCCCTGGGAGTACAAATAAAAAACAATGAAACAAGCCCTATTCACAAGGAATTTACTTTCCATCGATGGAGATAAGTACATAAAAAAATATGAATGGCATAAATACAAAGTAGTTTAGGAAGTAGGACACTAGCATTTGCAGATCAGAAAAGCCTTCATATACACATATAATAACAATAACAATTAACATTTATATAGTACAATGTGTCAGGCACTGTGCTAAGTGTTTTACAATTATTATACGTTTTGATCCTCATAATAACCATGGGAGGTAGATGCTATTATTGTTTCTGTTTTATAACAAGGGAACTGAGGTAAACAGAGATTAAGTGATTTGCCCAGGGGGTCACACAGTTTCATATTTGAATTTATAGAATTCATATTTGAACTCAGGTCTTCCTGACTCCAAGCCTAGTGTTCTATCCACATATATGTATATGTATATGTATATACGATCTTTTTTTTTTCCATTGAAAATCTCAGAAGCAAGTACAATACTCACCCTCAGGGTGGAGATAATTTTTAAGGAGAAGGAGGAGGAGGAGGAGGAGGAGGAGTTGGAGTTACAGCATATCAAACCGGCTAAATTCAAACCCAGCCAGACGCATCTCCCAAGGGTAAGGTCACGAGGACCAGAGCTGGGCAAAAGAAAGGAAAATTTTTCTCCAAAGCTAAAACATCGAGAAAATACTAAAGGCTCTGTTTGGTTCTCGGGCCCGAGGAACCAGGGAACTCTCCGGGACAATAGGGGATGAAGGCACGGACCCCGCAGCTAAAGGCTCAATTTGGTTCTAGGCCCTGGGGAACTAGGAAACTCTCCAGTTTAGTAGGGGATGAAGACCCGGACCTCCCAGTACCCTACAGGCACAGAGTGCCTCCTGGGGAATCTCGCCGGTGCGCTCCAGCCCCGAGACTCTTCCCAACTTCACCAGCAGGAATCTAAAAGGGAGTGGGTGTGGGGGGAATAGACTAGTACAATGAAAAAGAACCCCAGACACTCGGATGGACACACACACACACACACACACACACACACACACACACACACACACACACGACCGCGCGAGGGTGTGGTGGCTCTCCTGCCCAGATGGCCTTGCCCGTTCTCTACCCTTCCCCCAGCCCTCTCTAACTGGCCGCATCCTCCAGGCAGAAGCACAATAGAGACTCCGCCCCTCCCTCTCAGCCCAGCCTCTCCCCCCTTCTCCCTGCCCCCTTCCCTCCCTCCCTCTCGTAGCCCTCCACCTCCGCGACAGCCCGAGTTTAGCCGGCTTCAGAAGCCCGCGCTGCCTCGGTCGCTGCCGCTGCCCCGTCCCCGCCCCCCAGCCCAGCAGCCTGAGCTGCTTACCTCCTGGGTGGCACTTGGGGATCCGCGCCCTACCTGCGCCTCCCACATTTCCCCTCCTCAGCCAGGGGGCACAGCTTCCACCTGATCCCTACCCCAGGCGGGCCCCTGCGCCTTCCACTGATCCCGAGCGCTTCTCCACTCCGTACTGCTGCTGCTGCGGCTGCTGCGGCTGCTGCTGCGATTGTGGACTGCCCTTGGAAGGCAGGAGATGCAGAAGGGTTCTAGGGCTCACCTTCCTGCTTCCCCGAACCGCACCTAACCCGAGAAGGCGCTTGGAGCCGCTATTCCCCGCCTCCTGCCAACATACTGACTCTCTCCTTAACTCTTTCTTACCTTTCTCCCTCCCCTTTCCTCCCCCCCCCTCGGCCAGGTCCCTCAGGTGCGCTGCTCCCCCTCTTCCCGCCCCATCCCTCATGGCTAAGCAACTGATCCTGGTCTGTTGGGTTATACTGGCTGTGACTTGGGGCCAGGCGTCCAGCCCTCCCCCCACAGGGTCCAGCGAGCCCCCAGATCTGCAGACCGAGGCACCCACAGAGGAAGATACCCTGCAAAACGAAGCTGACAATCAGGAGAACATTTTATCTCAGGTGAGCTACCCACCTCTGCTCGTCCAGGGTGGAGAAAGGACATTAGAGATTCTCTTGGGGGTGGATAGGGAGTGAGGGCATAGCATGGGGTTCGTAAGGAAATTCTTCTCGTTTCCTTAAAGAATAAAGTGACGGTAGCTTTCATAATAGATGGTTGGGGACATGGCTTGTCCTGTATCCCCAACTCAGAAAGCTCCTTCAAGTTTGTTAAAGGAAGAGTAGAGAGGAGGAGGGAAGTCACACAGCATCCTGAAATCAAGGCAAAGAAATGTCTGCGGTTAAAACTATTAGCAAAGTCCAGTCCTCTCTTGCCTTTGGTGATCGAGATTTAGTCAGAGTTGGGCAGGAGACACAGGTGGGTGAGCTGGGAAAGACACGGGTCACCCGACTCCCAGAGGCAGCCAACAGCATGGTGTGAGAGACGAGCAGAGGGAAGAGAGGAAACTATGTGGGTGCTAAAAAGATGAATGCAGAGTGATCAAGAAACTGATGGTGTGATGGACAAGATGGACTCTGTGAGACTGAAAAACAGGTGGATACACAGTCCATCCACAGACCACCCTGATCTGTTTAAAATGTATGACAGCCAGGAAATAGGGGAATAAGTGACAGATGGACAAGTAGTGACAGCCCTCCAAGGACTAATCCTCCCTGAGCCTTTCATGCTCAGCCAAATATTCATGATGATGTGTGGGAGGTGTTCTCTTTCAAGAGAGGGTGAGTGCAGACATGGACCCCCTACCCCGTGACACTGACAATGCTGGGGCCCTAGAGCACAAAATTATTTCTCCTTGCAAAGAAAGCTCTTAATTCCAGTTTGAAATTGATTGGCTTTCCCATCCTTACTTGAGATAATGTAAGTGAATCTTAAAGCGCGAGACATGGGGTCAGCTATTAGTGTTATCATTCATGTATTACATGTACTCCTCCACACACCTCATCTCCCTGAATCCTTCCAAGAGTCTGAGATGGTCCATCTGAGATTTTGAGTACTGTCCCCTGCAACGTTTCCAAAATCCAAACTCCCCCAATGGAAGGAATCCACTCAGAGTCTTAAAGCAGAAGTCTGTCAGATTCCAGGCAAGATTTCAGGGAAAGCTACAATTTAATGTCAGCCCACAAAGACAAGCAGCTTAAGTCATCTTGAACTACAACTCCCTTTTCCACTGATCCATTCTGTATTTGACAACATCCCTAAACCAAATATTATCATTAGAAGAAACCTAATCTTTTTAAGGAAAACATTACAAGCCTTGTTCTATTCAGACAGTTTCCCTCCAGTAACGTTTCCACTTGACCTAGCAGAATGCCTGCTAGGGTAGCAGGTGATCGATGGAATAGTTAGTTAAAATGAAAATATTTTCCATGCCTGGAAAGGGACATTGACTTCTGGATGTGAAGAAGACTTTGAAAAAGGGAAGATGCTTAGACCAAGTCAGAGCCTATGTGAGAGGAGCCCGAGAAAAGTCAGTTACCTTAGCAATTGCCTGGGGACAAGAATATTGAAAACAGGCTAGCAAATGTTTTCCTTCCTTAGGAGATGACAAGAGAGAAGCTCTCAAAAGGAAATGTTTAGCATTGTAGGAGTAGTGAGACTCAGCAGTGTATTTTCGTAGCCTGGATTATGCATTCGTGTGCTGCCTGGGAGAAAAATCAACCCTTAACCAGGAGAGAGAGAGAGAGAGAGAGAGATACAGAGACAGAGACAGAGAGACACACACACAGAGAAACAGAGACAGAGACAGAGACAGAGAGCGCAAGCCATGTGATTGTCAGCTTTTCTCCCCCCCCCCACTTTTACCTAACTCTTATCTTTAGCTGAAGGCAAAGGCTAGTAGTAGGTTTCAATGATTCATTTTTTTTTAAATGATGAAAGGCAGAGAGCCCAGGAGAAATAAACTTTCCAAAAAAACCTGCAAGAATAGAAATCTGAGAGGCTTCAAAGAAATGTCAGAGTCAGCGCTTTGTGTCACTGTGAGCTATTTACTTCAAGGTTCAGAGATGTCTGAGGTCTCTGGCTAGCTAACAGGGATGTGCAAAGTCTTTAGGAGTTCACTGACACTCGTTAAATTTCTCTCTCTCTCTGTCTCTCTCTCTCTCTCCCCCCTACTTCTCTCCCTCTTTTTCTCTCTCCCCCTCTAGTTACTAGGCGACTATGATAAGGTGAAAGCTGTCACAGAAGGCTCAGATTGTCAGTGTAAGTGTGTGGTGAGACCTCTGGGCAGAGATGCCTGCCGAAGAATCAATGAAGGAACTTCACGACCTGAAGATTTTTACACGGTGGAAACAATTACCTCCGGGCCAGCTTGCAAGTGTGCCTGTGTGGCACCACCGTCAGCCCTCAACCCCTGTGAGGGAGACTTCAGGCTGAAACAGCTACGTGAGGCCGATGCCCATGATTTCAAGGTATGGTATCCATCAATTCAGAACCCAGAAGACTCTTAAAGGGCACCTAGTCCCACCCCCCTTTTTGTACAGATAAGAAAACTGAGGCCCAGAAAAGAGATAACTTTCACATAGCTAGTATCCAAATCCAAATCCTCCGATTCCAAATTCAGCTTTCTTTCCACTGCACCACGGTGTGGAGATTTGAGCCTTTCTTTCTGTCCCAGAATGGAACTTTTTACTTAGCCTGGTTCTCTAAGGCTGATCAGGGCTATGCTGGGGCCGGGGGTGGGGAGGGGGGAGAGAAGTCTATATAGTCCAAATTTAAGCCATGACAGCCAATTAGAAGCTACAATGAATTTCTGAAAATGAATTGGGCAAGATTAGAATTATCTGGAAATAATGTTCTGGGTAGGATGGGTGGGTAGGGAGAGAGGCAAGTCCAATTTCATTGTTGTTGGCACCATTAGGGGTCAGGAGTGGAGTGGTGAGAAAGAGCTTTGATTTCATTGTGTACAAAACCCCAAATAAGGAAACTCGCTCTACTAATAGTAGCTGTTAGGAACTTAGAAGGTTGTCTGGTCCATTGAGGCTAAGTGACTCAGCCAGGTCCCACAGGCAGTATGCCTGAGCCTATATCTCCCTGGCTCTATCCATTCTGCCAGGCTGCCCATTTTATACTTGAATATTTCCAAAGGGCCATGATTTCATGACCAAGGGTATTATTCCCCTGCACAGAGGCAGATCACCACTTTTCCATCCTTAATGGACAGCCTGCATGAGTTGCTACGGCCAAAAAAATTCAGTGCCCAGGTCCCAGAGGCCAATCAATCATCTGATGACATCTCTTCAGACTTAGAAAGCTGGTTCTCAAATAGCTGAATCATAGTCCATTACTTGCTTACTTGCCAGACCTATAAATATCAGATAGAGTGTTAGACTGAGTTAACTAGCTATGTAACTGTGGGCAAATAATTTAAATCTTTCTGGTCCTTTTTGGTTCCTCATGTGTATGCTGAATAAACATAGCTGTTGTGAGGAATAAGTGTTTCTAAAGCACTTTGAAAACCTTTATGCATTACATAAATTATTATTATGTTATCATCATCATCATCATCAGCAGCAGCAGCAGCAGCAGCAGCAGCAGCAGCAGCAGCCTTTCTAGCTGGGCAGGACCTTTCAGAGCCTACACTCTATGGGCACTCAATACCCTTCAAAAACCTAGAGTTACCTCTACCCCACAAATGACGTATGACAGGACTTCAATGGAGATTATAGGATTTTGGAGCTCAAAAAAACCCCCCAAAAACTAAGAAATCATTTAGTCCAGCTCCTTAACTTTACTGATGAGGAACCTGAAACCCAGACAGGGAAAGTGGCTTGCTCAGAATCATAATAAATCAAAGTAATAATAATATTAATAAGCATAAATTAAAACCAGTATCAATTTTATTATTGATTAATAACCACAATACATCATAACACAATTTATTATGTGTAATATAATAGTCATTAAAATTAATCATCATAATAAATAAACATAAAACCAGGATCTGAACCTTGGTTTAGCCCTAGAGGGCCATCTAATCCAACCTTCTCATTTTGCAGCTGAAAAAACTAAAGCCTAGGGAGATTAAGGTCCCACAGGTAGGAAGCATCAGAGGCACTATTGAAGCCCAGGATCTCTGCCTCAAAAGCCAATATTCTTTCCACTTCCTCTTGTACCTTATACTTGTGAAACCATAATCAAGTATAACTGGTTTGAGAAAAACTCTCTGTAAGGGACAAATGCCTAGTTTAGTGGGTTAAGCACTTAGCACTTAATCCCTCCCTTGACAGTCTTCTCCTTCTAATGCTTTGGACAACTCATTTTAGTCCAGCTAGATTTTCAGTCTCCTTTTCTAAAATGGGTTCAGTAATCATGTCTTGGCCTTTTGTGAAATGAAGAGAATTTGGTCAGTTGTTACTCGGAAGGTAGTGATACCATTTTCCTCCTTCACTAGTGTTCAAGAATGATTTGATGATTGATGATACAACCCTTCTTGAGTTAGAAAGGAAGGGATCTGTGACTGCCCATCAGGATGAGGACCGCAGAGATTTGGTTTGT